CTCCCCAAAACCCCAAAACCCCAAAACCCCAAAACCCCAGAGATAATCAAAATTATTGAGCACAAGCGTGATGTGGTAAAACTATATCTAAAAGTGATGAAACATTAGGGAGGGAATTTTTACCCGATCAAGTATTTACCATCTTGAGAACATTTCTTCGACAAATGCAAACTCGTCCTTAAATTCAATCTTTTGGCCATCTTCCGATTCGATCGTGCCACTCATAATTCCAAAGTTTGAATTAAAGTCAATATCAATGATAATGAAGTTCTTTGAAATGGTATGCTTGGCATCTACTTTGAAGGTTAGATCAATCTTATTTTTAGGATATTTCTGCCCCTTAGATACATAGCTTTTTAATGTCCACGTAGTGTCATTTACTTTGTCGACTACTATTGAGTCAAGTTTATAGATTTTATCGTCGATCCAGATTGCGTCACCAGAGGCATTCTGAGTAGCTTCAGATCCGCTCAAATTGAGACCAATTTTCTTTGTTTGTCCTCTCTTACCTCCTTGAACTTTAAAAGCAAGAGATCCCCAGACCCAGACATTTGTGTATTTTCCTACAGATCTTCCGTTGTCATGGAGTCCCATGCATGGGTTTTTGGATGTACATTTCATAATGTTCTTTCCATTCAGGGTGACGCTCCCAACAAAATCAACCAACATCTTTGTGTTAAAAGAGTGATAGTCTCCATCAATAGTTTGATTCTCAACATGGGTGATACCTTCACTCCAGTTTACACCAACAAGATTTGCAGAGATGGTATGATCGTCGGTCTTACTATTCACATTGATCTGAACCTCAGTGTCTCCCTCAGGCTTGATAAACTTCATAGTGAGGTCTGGATGTTCAACAACTGAGTAAATTCCGTTACCATTTTTATTCACATCAATGAATACATAATTCCCAAAATAATCTTCGATCAGAGTTTCAGTGACATCATAGTCTCCTCCAATCTTAAGCACGTTGATGTAGGAAGATTTGACAACTCCAACATTGGCATGAGCCATAGTCACCAGATAGTTCTTGTTTCTAACATAGAAGTAGTTCCATTGCTTATCTCTACTAAGAATGGGCCAGTAGGTCTTGCTTAAAGAAGGCTGATAAGATAGCTTGTTTGGATATACAGCCCAACCTTGAACCTTCAACTTGCCAGTTTCAGGATCAACAACTTGCATCTCCAAGTCTGAAGAAATCTGGTGATTCTCTAGCTCATATACCGGTACCAAGGTCTTATCGATACCCTTATAATGTTGATCGATGTAAAAGAGGGTGGCTACCAATGCAACTACAGGGAGAAGAAGGAGCAAAAATTTCATTTTTATGTTAATTTTACAATATAGATATTCCCAAAGGGGTTTTGGGGTTTTGGGGTTTTGGGGTTTTGGGGTTTTGGGG